AAATAAACACTTTTTCTAACTTTGACCACAAAATATGTTTGTAACTTTCCATGACACCATAAAACCTGTACATGGGGGGTAGTGTTATACTCAGGAGACTTTGCTGAACACAAATATTAGTGTTTCAAAACAGTAAAACATATCACAACAATGATATTATCATCATAGGCGTGCGCAGCCTATTGCATTAGGGTGTGCACCCTAAAGCACAAACACACGCCGTGCGTGTGTGTGTGTGTGTGTATATATATATATATATATATATATATATATATATATATATATATATATGCGTATATATATATATACACACACACACTCTCACAGACACACACACACTCACAGACACACACACACTCACAGACACACACACTCACAGACACACACACACTCACAGACAGACACACACACTCACAGACACTCATACACTCACAGACAGACACACACTCACACACTCACAGACACACACAGACACACACTCACACACTGACACACACACTCACAGACACACACACTCACAGACACACACTCACACTGACACATACTCACACACTCACAGACACACACTCACACACTCACACTGACACATACTCACACACTCACAGACTCACTGACACACATACACACAAATTATTATATTTTAATTTAAAAAAAAAAATGTCCACCCAGCCTCCTACCTGGAGTGCTGGTGGACTTTTCCCTGGGGTCCAGTGGGGGCGGGCGCCTTTCCGCAGTTCAGCCGCGGCGAGGGAGCTCTCTGCTGTCTGCTCCCTCTCGCCGCGCGGGCTGTCTGCTGCAGCTGGGAGCCGGAATATGACGTCATATTCCGGCTCCCGGCATCAGCGCGCGGCGAGAGGGAGCAGACAGCAGAGAGCTCCCTCGCCGCGGCTGAACTGCAGGGTGGGTGGAATCATCACCTCTTGCCCTCCCATGACAGGGACAAGAGGTGAAACAGGGGGCACTGAGTGCCTGCAGGAACGCTGTTCCTGCAGGACTCAAACCATAGGCGTGCCACGGGGATTAGGGTGTGCCCAGGCACACCCGGCACACCCCGTGCGCACGCCTATGATAATCATTGGAAGTGCCGTTTGTGTGTGAAAAATGCAGAAAACTTCACTTTCACTGACAATATCATCGCTGTGATATGTTTTATTGTTTTGAAACACTAATATTTGTATTCAGTGAAGTCTCCCAAGTAAAATAGTACCCCCCATGTACAGGTTTTAGGGTGTCATGGAAAGTTAAAGGGTTAAATACAGTGCTAGCAAATTAAATTCTCTGGACTTTCGGCCTCAGGCAGGTCCATCAGATTGCAATCAATAAAATTGCTTAATTATGTAGAAATATTATATAATATCCTTTCGTATATGTAGAAATATTACTTAAATATGCATGTAGAATTTAAATATATATATATATATACATATGTATGTAATTATATATATATATATATATATATATATATATAATTTTATTCTAACTATATTTTGATATATGGGAAGGCGGAGCCTGGAGTTGTGGGAGGGGTTGCAACCGTCCTATATAAACCCACTACTTACCTCCATACCTTGCTGACAACGCTTGGTCACTTCCGGTTCCGGTCCAGACGGCGGGAATCAACTACACCAGGTCAATCAGCCTCCACAGCAGCAGGATCGCCTTCCGTTAATCAGGCTCGGCGGTAGCAGATACCCTTCGTTCACGGCGGGCTCGCCGACTGCACACTCCACCACAAACTTCCGGAGCGCCGGGTCGCACTTCCGGGTTCAAGGGACCGGTAATCGTGAGTACGGGCACACGAACGTTCAAACTCACGAATAAGATACAACATTTCTACACAGCTGGGCGAACAGTTATTACACACGAATCACAGCCGAATGACGAGGGCAAGGGGAACACATACGAAGAGGTCTTAAAATTCTGCGAACGCCTTACATTCGGTTCTAAACACACGAATCCAACTAGGTCTAATGCATGAATGTGGCTTCCATAACACACGAATTACAAACACGAATTACTATACGTTACAACACTCAGGAAATATTTTTTTTTTTTTTCTTTTCTTTCTCCCCTTTCTACTCTCACAGTGATACTGCCACCTACAGGCGACTTCAACATATTGCACTCTATGTATGTAACAGTTTAAATGAAGTATGATTTTGTGTATTTGTATTAAAGTATAACATAATATTTATATAAGTCGGGTAACTTTATCACTAATACTTGTCAAGTCATTAAATATTTAAAGGAATGTCCACAATATATTTCCTTTTAATAATATCGGTTAAGAGAATTTTGATACAGAGCATATAAATTAATTAGTAGGCGGGCGTATACGTTTATAGCGGTCTGTTCACAACTGTAGGTAACTAAATAGATATTAATCACGTATAATTTCGGTGGTAGTAGCAATTAAGGGGGAAGGGAAGGGTACCATTGTTTCATATATACGGCATGTGGAAATAGGTACATAGGTGGATGATATAAGGTGAATTGTATTATCATATCCTTGCAGGTGGGTCTGTTCTAAATTGTCAACACACGAACTACACAGCACAAGGGAGTGCTGGTAACATACGGTACGTTCATTAGGGAAATCAGGAGGCACTTACGCCAATCCGCTCGGAGCTAGAACATAGTACTAACATTAGATATACTTCAAACCAATATGGGTATCTTATTACGTCTTACCCTCGTAGGTCAAAGGTCATCAAGACCAACGCTGGTCAAAACAAACTCGCCAGAGAAGTAGACCACAACCTACTTCTGAGGAATTTAAATAATAAGATACACTTACGGTCCTGGTACCAGATAAAAAAAACAAAAAAAAAACCAATTTACTTTATCTTATTGGTTAGGGGAGGGGTACACCTATTCGGGTGGTTTACTCTTATTATTCTCATCTTAGGCCAAGCATACCTAGCACATACAGCAACAGACGTAACATAAAGACCCAATCATCAGGTACGTATTGATCTATAAATCATACCTACGACACAACAATAGACACTGGCAAAATAGTGGTGGAAGAAATATCTATATATAAAATGTTAAATATATATTCTATTTACCACGATATACTCCCTAATTATGCTCATCACAGAGGTATTCACCTTCGGTTTAACTCATAGGTAAATTCACAATACTCAACCAAATATAAATAGGACCTCACCAAGCATGCTTAGTTTACGGTTATAGGTGTTAATAAGGCCACCTTCCAGCCACAACGCTTCGGTGGCACAGTCATACGTCCAACGCATAGTTGAGCCCTATACGGTCCAACGGCTATCAACAGTACATCAGCTACCTCGTTATCTACGACAACTTACTTATAAGTCACATCAAACCCTTTGTCATTTATATAGGATGTCTCACGCCTCCGACATAGGAGAAGACGTCTCCCCTCCCTGTACGCCAGCCAGACCACCCACCCCTCCATCGGGCCCAACTATAGCCGAAAACCTAGATAGCCCGTGTTCATTGAGGTCATGGACAATTCCAAAAATCGCTGCAGAACTCAGACGTAGGGGTGTACCATATCCGGCCACGGCTAGGAAAGCCGAACTATATAGGATTATGATGACAACCAATGACACCCCTCAACCAGGGACCAGCTCACAAGGGAATATGAACGAAACCATAGCAGGCCTGCAAGCCACCATGACATCTATCCTGGTGTCTATTAGTAACATCAGCCAGAGAATGGACAGACTGGAAGCTCCTGAGCCAATTATTGTGGCACCCGATATCAGTCTTACACCTGAGATTGAATACATAGCCGCACAGGGTAATGTGACAGGAGCTCCAAACTCACAAAATCCTACTACTCACATTGTCACACCAGCACACTTGGTACCTCCCAACATTAGGAAAGATATTTTAGAGGGGAAAGACGTCAACCTTATTTCCCTACTGATAGCGTCTCAAGACGTAGTAGAAAATAAGACCTATAATTATGGGGACTTGTCAGTAGTGATGAAAGCCAGAGATCCCAGACTAAGTAAAAAATTAACCATACCAGAGTTCGTCTTGGCTTTTGGCATATATAGAGACGTTGTATGCACCACTTTTCCCCATCGTAGAGAAGAACTTGATTTGTATTTGCACAAATTGGTGGACCTGGGACACAAGTACGGTGGCCATACGTTTTTTTTTTAATTGTACCAAAGCAGCGGCAGCTTTGGTACAATTCAACATAAGAACCGACTGGAGGCACTTAGATACCGGACTTTTCTGCCGCCATTTTGCCGGCCTTATACCACCATCTTGCGCAATTTGTTCATCAAACACCCACACCACCAATTTGTGCCCAAATGAACCAAGTCTTCCTACTACCAGCTACGCAGTCCCTAGCACCAGTAGCATCGACCAGAGGACATTTAAAGACAAATTAGGTAGGCCAATAGTTTTCCTGGGGAAGGCGCAGATTTGAAACAACTTTAACACAGGTGGTTGCAGCTTCAGCGCTTGCAGGTTGTTACATGTCTGCACCATCTGCCATAGAGCCCATGCTAAGACGATGTGTCCTAACCGACTGTTCCCCAAGAAATGACTGACGGAAGTCAATGTCGACACGCTAGCCTTTTACCTCAGTTCACACCCATCCAGGGACTTAGTACAATTTCTGATCACTGGTTTCACAGAGGGGTTTCACACGGGGTTGGTAGCACTACCATCAGGAACAATTGAGTGCAGGAATTTACAATCTGCCACTACTGACCCAGCAACAGTAGACATTCTGTTGCAAACTGAAGTAGGGAATGGTTTCATGTTAGGGCCATTCACACGGCCACCATTCACTTGTTGGAGAACCAGTCCGATAGGAATTGCATGGGGCAAATACAACAATAAAGCACGATTAATCATTGATTTGTCAGCCCCTCATTCCAGCACCACACCAAGCCTAAATTCACTTATACCATCGGCGGAGTTCTCTTTACAGTATGCCACAGTAGATAATGCCATACAGGCCATACTGGAAGCAGGGGTGGCAGCTTGGCTCGGGAAAACCGATATTTCAAATGCTTTCAAGCTGCTTCCTTTGCACCCCTCTCTATGGCATCTGCATGGGGTAAGGTGGAAAGGTTTATACTACTTTGCTAACCGGCTGACATTTGGGGCCAAAAGTAGCCCCAAATTGTTTGATATTTTTGCCGAGACACTGTGTTGGCTACTGTTAAATGTCTGCTGTTGCCCAGTAATTATACACTATCTGGACGACTTTCTAACAGTAGAGAAACCTGACACAATACCACACAGCATCAACAAGACAGTCGCATTATTTAAGACATTAGGGGTACCGGTGGCCGAGAACAAGACAGTGGGCCCCACCACCA